CCTTGAGGAAGGGCTTGAGGACCACAAAGATCTGGGAAATGGTACCCCATTCAGCTCTGTAAAGGGGGGCACTGATCCCAATCTCCCCAAACAAGACCATCTCGTGGATGGCTTTCTGTTGCTCCACCTACCTTTGGAGCATCAGGTATGTGGACTTCCACTGAGTCTCCACATCCTGTATGATTCTGTGCTGTGGGATGCTCAGCTCTGCCTGTTTCTCCCACAGTTCCCCTTGATGCTGTGGTGGAACTAGCCCGCCACCTTCCTGCATTTTGAAATCAGCTAGCTTGTAGCAGTACTGGTGGTGGCACTGTCACTGGCAGCCCTGTCCCCGTACAAGGCATCCCTCACTATTAGGTATAGCCTGTGTGCCGCACAGTGGATGCCAACAAAGTTGGCATCATGGACAGCCTTCACCATATTTGCCCCATTGTCGGTGAACTTGAACCCGCGGGTGAGCTCGGCCTGCCCAATGAGCCACCCCTGCACCATGCAGTTCATGGCCCCCATGATCTCCCTTGCCGTGTGGGACTCATCCAGCACCTCAACTTGCAGTAGAGTCCACCAATGGCCTGACTGATTGCACCAGTGCCCTGTGAGGGAGAGGCAGGCACAATCACCACCCCGGCTGCTCCAGATATTGGAGGTGAAGTGCAAGGCTACCTGCAGCCCTGCCTTGAGCAGCTCCTACCTCAAGTACTCCCTGCATGCCTGATACAGAGGGAGGGCACCACCCCCCTGATAAAGGTGGTGTAAAATGGGGCCAAAAGTGTTATGAACTGCCTGTACCCTGGTCGCTCAACTAGGGAAAAGGGCTGGCTATCCAGAGCAAGCATCTCCCCAATGCTCTGGGTGATCTTGCGTGCCTTGGGAACACGCCCCCCTTTCTGTCCACCTTTCCCCCACTGGTCCAGGGTGGCCTGCCTCTGCTTTGGGGGGAAGGGGGTTTTGGAGTGAGCAGGGGATTTCCCTTTCAGCACACTTGCACTGGTGCCAGGCCGAGCAGCAGGAAGAAGGGCAAGGGGGTGGTGTCTCCTCAGATGTAGCAGCATGGCCATGGTGGAGAAGTGTCTCATGTCCTTGCCACAGCTCATGTGCCTTTGGCAGTGCTGGCAGATGGCAAGCCTGGGATCATCTGCCACCTCAGAATGATCCTACGCTACACTACTCCCTTGCTTCTGGGTTGAGGGTGAAGATCCTGCCTTTTCCCCCTTCTCAGCAGGCTGAGGCTCAACAGCAGGAGGAGCTGCCTCAGCTAAGCCACTTGCCTCCACTACCTCAGCCTCCTCTGAGGTGCTGCTTTCCAGAGTAGACCTGGGTCTAGGGGAAACTTGAGGGGTGTGGAGCACAAACTCTGATTCCCCCTTAGTCCCCAGAATTGCTTGAGTCAGTGCGCTCAGGTCCCCTGGTTTCAACTCCAGCTCCTCCTCTGGCAGTGGGAGGCTCACACTGAGAGCTGAAATTGGGGTGGAAGAGGAAGTGATTCCACTGTTGGTGCCCACTTTTGGACTGAGCAGAGATGGTGCAGGGGCAGGGACATTAGGTGCAGACACTGATCCCACTGCCTGGCTTCCGCTGGCAGCACTGATGTCATGGCTGCTTGGGAATAGAATATGTCTGTGTTTGAGATGTGGGGACTTGCAGCTCTAGCTCTCCCCATACCCCCTCTCCCTCCCCTGCCAGAAGACCTTGCACCTGCCTTTCCAGCATGCTTCATATTGATCTTTCCTGTGCTGCAAAAGGTCTCTTTGTGTGTGTGAATCCTTTTGTATATCTGTCTGTCTTGTTCTTCTGTGAATATCTGTGTCTGTCTTGTGCTGTGAATGAAATTATTTGTGTGTCTTCTTTGTTGTTCTCACAATATTGCCTCTTATGCTGTGAATGAAATTATTTGTGTGTCTTCCTGTCTCTCAATATATCATCTGTGTCTTGCTCTTCTGTAAATATCTGTCTTCTTCCACTGTGATTTTTTTTCTATGTGTGTGTGCGCGTGCGTGTGTGCAAGAAATCTGTGCCTCCCTGCACAGTGATAGATAACACTGGCTGGGAAAACACAATTTTCTTTTTGCAAAGTTTCCAAAACAAGTTTCCAAAAAGATAATTCAAAAAAATAAATTGAATTGTAATACTACTAATAATTGAATAGAATAGCTAAACTAAACTAAGCTAAGCTAAGCTAAATCCTAACCACTCCTTTATAATATGAAAAAGCAGCAGGCAGGTCTCAGTCGCAGCATTCCTCTCTCTCACAGTCGCTGACAGGGAACGAGCTGCAAAAGGCAGAGAAGGGCTGGAACCAGGGGCTTTTATACTTTTTTTAGTCCCATCCCATAGACGCTGCCGTTGGAAAGGTAGCCGGGGAGAAATCCTTCTCCCTGGCTACCTACAGACATCAGTCTCCCCCCTCCCATTCTCTGTCCCTCCCCCGCTCCCCCTCCCTCTTCTAATTGCCTCAAAATGGCCAAAGCTGGTCCAAAGCATCCAAAGCAGATCCAAAGCACTTCGGATGCCCCCAAACCACTCTGGGCACCATTGCTGGGATCCTGCTTCGATCCGGAAGTCCCGCTTTGGATGCCAAAGCATCTGAAGCGGCTCCAGATCCGAAGCGGGATCCGAAGAATTGCACAGCCCTACCTCACACTACCAAGATGTGCCAAGACCCCAAAAGGCGCCATAGAGGAACATGTCCTGTCCTCCTTCACTACCTGACCCTGGTCACACAATTGGGACTATGGGGACATGAATGACCTCATTGCCAGGGACCTACCGAATTCATGGTGGAAGTGGGGTGCGCCATGGATCCTTTAATCTTGCAGGTTCCCCTGTGCCCCCCACCCCTGTTTAGTGGAGGGCACCCACTTGCAGCTCACTTCTGATCAGTGGAGAGGGGGGAGGGGCGGTAAAAACTGTGGATTGAAATATGGCACCATTTTTGCCTCCTGCTGCTGATTTGCTGATGGCTGATGGCTCTGCTGTTTGCTGCTGAATGGCAGGGAGGTAAAAACAGGATGATAGGACAACCAGAGTCCCAGGAACAGGTTCCTGGGGGGCCACAGAGCATAAAGTCTGCTGATGGTAGCCCCTGAGGACTATGGCCTGTTCATGCTGGCCCCTGTATCATCCCAGGATCTGGAAGAAAAGTTGCAGCTGAAGCTGGACTTGAGCTTTTGGGCATTGTCAAGAGCATGGAGCACAGCACACAGGTGCAGGGGAAAAGCTCTGATGCCACAGAAGTTGAGACCTAGGACCTGGAGCCTCAGCCCATGCTCTCCATCTCATGGGAGCCCACCCTGCAAGGTCCTTCACTCTGTGGACCATGGCTGAACACACTGTCCCCAGGACACAATTCCCTATCTCCTTCGGGAGTGGTGGAGGGGGTGTAAGGAGTGGTGTTGCGGGGTGTGTTGGGGGTATGGAGAGTGGTAGGGAGGATGTGCAGTTTTGGGGGGGGGCTTGGGCGGGGCCTGCCACACACCTGCCACCTATCTCCTTGAAACTTGGCAGGCTTTGTGGCCTCAGCAGGGGCTACCATTTCTTCAATTTTTACTCTGCTGTGGCTTAGCACATACACGTGACACAAGTTTTGCTTTTAAGATTCAGAGGTGCAGTTTCCCAGAAACTCCTGCATCTATCTTCATGACACTTGGTAGACCATATGCCCATAGAAAGGGCTATCATTTCTGCAAGTTTCATCCAAATCAGCCAAGAAATGACAAAGTTATAGATATGTCATTGGTTCTCCATTATACTCTATGGCCGAATCTCTCTGAATTGGCGCCAAAATTTCCAAAGCCGATTCAGCCATACTGATTCAGAACAGCAATCCAAATCTCCAAATTGAATTGCTGGCCTTGAATTGGCTGAATCCGAATCGACTAGTTCCCTACTTGCACAGGCCTAATGTTCTGCCCCTCCCCCCCCGGCCCCTCCCACCCTAACCCACCAGAGGCGAGCTACCTGCACAAGCTTCTGCTGGGGAAGACTGGCAGGGGGAAAGGGGCAGCATCTCTGCCAGGGTCCAAATCACAAGGTGGGGTCATAGGGGTCCCTTGGTGAGTGTGCAAGAGCCAGTGTTGGGGTACATTGGGGTATGCCTAAATGCAGGGTTTTTCCTGGGTTCATTGTTGGGGTCTGCATGTATGTTGTGGGGTAGGTTTGTGACAGGGTCTTGAGGGTGCAGGGGCTCAGCCCAGAGCATCATGTGCTTATGTCCCAGGGCTCAGGCAGGGGACACAGATGGCTTCCTTCCCCCTGCTGCCTGCCTGTAGCTGGCAGATAGCTGGAGGCAGGAGGCAGGGGCTGGGACTGGGGAGAGGGACTGTGCTTGCTTGGTGCTAGAAGAGCCGGGGGTGGGGCCTGTTGGTGCTCGTCCAGAGCAGCTGAACATGGGTCGAGTGCTAGCACACCTCCCTACAAAGGAAATGTCAAGGGTGGGGGAGGAGGAGGAGGCATGAAGCAGGCTGGGATGCTGGAGGACAGTGATCTAACTTGAATCAGTAAGGAAACAGGATGGAAATTCAATGCATTAATCTAACTGAAATCGATCTGAATTAAGCATACCTTGCACCATGTCTATCTTAGACCACTTGCACCATTTCTAGACTGGTCTAGCTGTGCCAAACTTCTGTGTGGTTATAGTTTTAAATTAATTTACATTCACTTACACCAATCTAAGTGTAATGTCAGTACACGGTCAAACTCACACTGACGTGTTACAAATATGTCACAGATGAACTGAAAATGGAACTGGCTTAGGCAAAGAATTTGAAAACACTATAGGTAATTGTAGAAACATTTGAGAGTCAACTAATCAGAATTTTCTAACTTTAGATTTAAGTTCATTAAATCCCTGTTATTTAGAAAGTTTGACATGCTGGATGAGCCTTTTAATTTAACAGTTTCAGTAAGGCTATGTTATGTCGATGACAGTCATTGAGACTAGGATCAAAAACAGTCAAAACCATGTTCAAAGATGGAGATGACAATGGTCTTCATGTTCATTAGCGAGGAATAAAGTAGAGCTGGTAGGGACGTGGCATATTTACCATGCTACAAACTTCTGGAGAAATGTCTATGTCCTTGTGATCAATGGTAGGTTTCAAAGTAAAATTCTGCAAAATTATTGTTAAAAATAAAAATAGTTCCATCCGAGCCAGACCTTCTCCTATGCACATCCGTTTCCCTGCAATTAAAAAAAGACAGAGGGAATGCTGGAGCATTTTCTTGGCAATGTATTTTCAAAATGAAAGTAAAATATCAACTAAAATTAGAGGCATGAAGCAATTTGAGGCAAATGCATAAATGGTAACATGACTACCAGAGGTCCGGATAACATGGAAATATGTGAATGTCACGAAAACCCACTCCCAGGTAATTTTAAGGGCTGAGTGCCATATGCCTAGCTACTGCCTTATGGCCTATTTGGAGAGAAAAGTGGCATGGGTTTTGAATCTTGCACTTCTCCAGGCAGAGTAAAGAGAAAGATTTGAGGGTTGCAGCTAAGCGTTTGTTTGCTGAAAGATGCTTCTCTGCTGGAAACAATACAGCTTCAGCAGCCATCAGAAATCACTGTGCAGCCCACAGGATGAGAACCACTAGGATCTTTAAGGCCAAGCTAAAAGAAGATGGTTTAGGATCTGAAATCAATATAAGTTTCTTTACCTGTGGAAAAAGGCACAAAGTAATCACTCCTCTTAAAGTCACCGTTTTCATCCAAGAAATGCCCTGGGTTAAATTCCTGTGGGTTTGGAAATTCCTTGCTGTCATATAGGATTGATCTCAAGTCAGGGATTATAATTGTGTCCTGAATTAACAAAGAGAGAAGAAAGGTCAAGTGGATATTAGCTACCACAGACAGTCCTCCAAAAGTCAGTGAATAGAACAGAAGAATCTGTTTTTCTTAATCTCTCTATGACTTTATAATAACAGCCTTCACTGAAAAGTAGAAATATTAAAATTTAATGAAAAAAGCTAATCCCACAGGCTCACAAACCAACCAGACTGGGAAAATCTTGGTGTTTCATGAGATAAAGCATTACTGTTACACTAAAAGCATGATTTCTATACTAAAGAGGTGTGGGGGGAGTCTGACTAAGTTCCAGAACATTTGAGACCCATGCAGAGCGCCACAGGGGCAGCGTGAACAGCACTGCCTGGGGTGCTGTGCTGCACGTGCCCCCTGCTCCTCCCTGCCATCACCCACAGTGCACACACACACACACACACCCCCCATCTTCTGGAGACAAGTTCCCATCTTTTTCCCATCTCTTCCCCCCCTTCAGGAGACACACACACACACACACACACCCCCCATCTTCTGGAGACAGAGATGGGAACTTTTCCCATCTCTTCCCCCCCTTCAGGAGACGGGAAGTCTGCCTTTTTTTTTCTCTTTGCTCCCTTCCCCCTCTTCCCTCCGTTCTAGGAGACAGTTTTCTGCAAGCTGTTTGCTGACTTTTTGAACATAGATGGTTCCCCATGCTTTTTCATGGGGAACCGGCTATTTATGGGAGACTGCCAAATACACAATTTCCGTGAAAGCTGTGAAATCATGTATATGTTAGGTCCCTAGTCATGACTAATACTTATCATTGCCAGTCTTAGTGGCACATTATTCTCAGATCAGCAGAAAGTAAAGGTTAAATACTTTAAAAATATTATTTCAGGAGTAAGGAGGAATAGAGGTGTATGGGCAGAGCCCTACCAAAGATTCAGAATCTTGATGATTAAGGTGATACTTAATGGTGAGATTGTTTCAATTATTAAGTAGTCTCCCAAGGCAAATGATAGAATCTCTATTTGTTTAGACAGTCATGACTGGTTTGAGTGGAACACTGGAAAATTCCTGTAAGATACAAACTTGCATTTAATCTTCCAGAGGAATGAAGGGCTCTTTTCTAGTTCTAAATTGCTATGAGCTTTGTGTGGATACCTTTAAGAGTGTTACCTAGAAATTGTCAGACAAGGTTCCTTGGGTGAATTTGAAAATCTTTTATTAGACCAACCCAAATAGTTGGAGAATAGATATTAAGCAAGTTTTCAAGTTCAAAAACCCTTTGTCAGGCTAAGGAAGTTTCAGCAGTTGGTCTAATAAAAGATATCAAATTCACCCAAGGAACCTTGTCTGCCTATGTCCTTAGACCAACACAGCTACAACCTACACCCCTGCACCTAGAAATTGTTACATTTGCCTGGGAGAAGAGGGGAGAGCACTAGGGGTGTGCTAAACAGCACTGTTTCATTGTGATGTCCATTTCCCATTTGGAAGGGACAATGTTTCGTTTTGTCATTTCATTACATTTTGAAACACGTTTCATTTCATTTCCTCGAATTTGTTTTGCTGTTTCAACACTTTTTGCCCGTAGGCTACAATGGGGAATCATGAAAATGCCTAAAGCTTTGTCATTTCTTGCCTGATTGGGATGGAAATTGCAGGGTTGGTAGCTGCCTCTAAGGGCATGAAGTCTGCCATGTTTCAAGGAGATAGGTGCAGAGGTTTCTGGGAAGCTGCACCTCAAACTATTCAAAGCAAAACGCATAACACTTGTAGGCAGCGGCAGACTCTTGTCATCTGCTGCAGGGCTATGACGGATTCCTCCCAGGGGTGCAGGCCGCTGGATCTGTGTGCTGGATGAGAAGAAGCTGCTGCTGCCTCCTGGAACCAGTGCTGAGCACAGCCCGCACCCAGCACCAGGAAGATTGCTGGTGCTGCTGACCCCAGGCAGCAGCAGCAGCAGCCTCCTGTCATCCAGCATGCAGATCTGGGGGCTCACATCCCCAGGAGGGCTGCAGGGCTGTGCCGGACTCCTCCCAGGGGTGTGGGGCCCCGGATCTGCACGCTGGATGACAGGAGGCTGTCACTGCTGTCTGAGACCAGTGCTGAGAACAGCCCACACCCAGCGCCAGGAAGATTGTTGCTGCCACTGACCCCAGGCAGCAGGGGCAGCCTTCTGTCATCCTGCGTGCAGATCTGGGGGCCTGAGCCCCTAGGAGGAGTCCAGCAGAGCTGGTAGGGCAGGTTGAGCTCTGTGGGGCTGGAGGAGCTGCTTGGAGTGCAGGCTTGGCTCTCCCCACCTCCCACTGCTGGACTGCACTCCAAGCGGCTCCACCAGCCCCACGGAGCTCAGGCAGGAGGCAGAGTGCAGCCCTGGCTCTTCCCTGCCTCCTGCCACCGGGCTGCACTCTGAGCTGCTCCACCAGCCCCACGGACCTCAGCCTGGTGGTGGGAGGTACTGCGCAGCCTGGGTCTCCCCCGTCTCCCACTGCTGGGCTGAGCTCTGTGGGGCCAGTGGAGCTGGTCAGAGTGGAGCCCTGGCTCTCTCCCATCTCCTGCCACTGGGCTGTACTCCAAGTGGCTCTGCCAGCCCCACAGAGCTCAGCCTGGCAGCTGGAGGCAGTGGGAGAGTCAGTGGCAGAGCCGTTTGGAGCACATCCCTGGCCAGTGGCTCTCCCCTGCCTCTCATTACTTAAAATTGCCAATAGCTTAAATTAAGAGCGAGACCTTAAAAAAGGAGATAAGGCAAAATGAGAGCCTCTGCCTCCAGCCACTGGGCTGAGCTCCATGGGGCTGGCGGAGCCACTTGGAGCACAGCCCTGGCTCTCCCCCACCTCCCACTACTGCGCTGCTTCAAAACTCAAAATGTTTCAAAAATTTTGAAATGTTTCAAATGCCCCCATTTCATTTTGAAGCTGTTTCAAAGTTGTTCAAAGCTCAAAACACATCAAAACAGTTTTGAAACAAAACACTCTAGGAAATTTCACACAGCCCTAGAGAGCACAACAGATCAGCAGGCTAAGAGGACTTTCTGAATAAATACGCTTTATCATTATATAAGATGAACTCCTTGGTCTTTTGAAAACAACACATGGTACCAGGAGTGAGGTGTGAAGAAAGATAGAAAAATGGAGCATCTCAGGAGTCCAGAGGAGTTAAAGTTGTCTAGCAATGCAGCAGAAAACTGGAAGAAATTTAAGTAGAGCTTCACCATATATATGACAGCCAGTGGAGCTACAGAAAAGGAAGATCCACTCAAGGTAGCTATTTTTTAAAATATAGCAGGCCCAGAAACTCTGTCTGTTTATAATAAATAGTCTACAACTGTCAGAAGCAGAATAGAAAAGCTGTGATACAGTAATAAAAAAGTTTAAGGAATAGTGTATAATGAAACAAAATGAAACCTTTGAACAGTATAATTTCCACAGGAGACAGCAGAAAGAATGTGAGACAATACAGGAGTTTGTCAAAGACCCCAGACTGTTAAGCCACACATGCAACTTTGGAAAACTGAAAGAGTACATGAACAGAGACCAAAAAGTATAACTGATACAAACCTCAGGAATACATAATATATTATACTGTATATAATAGTACTATACTATACTTACATATAACGATACTTATATATAATAATACAACAATACTTATAACTATTATAATTATAATACAATTATAATTATGATAATGCCCATTAATATAATATAATAATTATAGTGTGATGATTATAATATTACTTATAATAATATAATAATACTTAATGGTAGTAATATACCTATATAATAATAATAATATAATACTTATATATAATAATACTTATACTATGTATAATGTTATAAGGGCTACAAGCCTCAGGAAAAGACTGCTAGAGGATCCTGAACTTCATTTGGTAAAGGCAGTTAGAATGTGCTAAGCGGCTAAGATAGCAAATGCCAGGCTGCAGAAGCTGGATAAACAAACAGAACAAGCTGAACTAGACAGGATTACAAGACTGCAGAAACCTAAAGCAACACATGAACAATATAGAAAGAAGGAGAGGAGGATCAAGGTAGTACACCAAAGACTGTGGCGCTGGTGTCATTGGGAAGGCTTCGGCTTCCATGACCACAGTCCGCTCTTTGGTGAGAGGGGCAGCGAGCTGCTGGGAAGGGACGGCCTCCACCTCTCTCTGCTGGGGAGGAGGCTTTTCTCAGCCAGACTGGCTGACCTGCTCCACCAGGCTTTAAACTAAGCACACCAGGACATGGGGAGACTACCACCACTGCTTTCCGAACAGTCGCAAAGCTTTCTCACATGTGTGAATCAGCTCTATCTGATGCAAGAAGTCTATGAGCCAATGAGAGGTAAAATGCTGCTCAACCTGGTACTGGCAACAGGGCATAACCTTATCAGTGATCTAACGATTAAAGGGAAGCTGGGTGACAGTGACCACAAGCTGATCACCTTCACCATTCGCCGTAAAGCTGGCAAGTCAGTCAGCAATACAGAAGTCCTCGACTTCAGGAAAGCTGACTTTGACAAGTTCAGGAGGCTCGTCAGAGAGGCCCTAAGGGACCATGATCCAAAGGGGAGGGGAGCTCAGGGTGAGTGGTTGCTCCTCAAGGGAGCAATCCTGGATCTACAAGCAAAGTCTATCCCATCTCAGAGGAAAGGCAGAAAAAGGGCACAGCAGCCCCCTTGGCTCTGCAGGGAACTAGCGGACCTCCTGCATCTAAAAAGAAAGACCTACAAAGGATGGAGGACAGGATCCACCTCCAAGGAGGAATATTCTGCACTGGTCTGGACCTGTAGGGAGCGAACCAGGAAAGCCAAGGCTGTGAATGAACTCCAACTAGCTACAAGTATCAAGGACAATAAAAAGTCCTTTTTTAGTTATGTGGGGAGCTGAAGGAAAAGCAAGGGCAACATTGGACCCTAGCTAAACCAGATGGGATGACTGACAACTGATGACCAGGAAAAAGCCAACTTGTTAAATGGGTACTTTGCATTGGTTTTTCACCAGTCCCAAGGGACGCCCCTGCCCATTATGG